GACCGAGCGTTCGAAAATGGGCAACGGCTCTACTGGGCACACGCCCGCCATGTTCTTCAATCCACAAAATAACTTCTTGCTTTCGCCACATCGAAATGGCGTTGCGCCGTTCCGCCATACCTGTCAGTGGTGGCAGCCCCGAGTCGATGAAAAAATGTTGAAATTTCTGTGGTGGCAATCGTCCATACTTTTTTTTGTCAAGTCATCTGAAGTCATTATAGCGGGGTAATGGATATTGTAAAATTTCTTTTTGAAGGCTCCATTCAAGACTGGACTCTAATCGGGAAAATCCGTTATTATACTAAATGAACGTGTGGTCTGGGTTGTATACGCTGTTGCTCGTAAAACAACCAAGTGCTCGATGACTAATTGTATTGTTGCCTCTGCAACTACGCAAAGCAGAAGCATACGTTCAATCACACATGTTTCGGAATGAACCATCAGTGTCAGAGTTCATCGCCGATACAAACAATCTTGTCGATTGGGGTCGGTTCACCAACGCAACCAAAAATAATTGATGCGCGATTTAATCATGCAAATGAGTATGCGAGGCGTTCTCAATCCTCCAATGTCTGTTATATGGCTATCTCGGCTGCTGTACCCGTAAACGCAGCACCAATTCCCGAGAATCGCTTCATATAGTCAATATTGCCAGTCATAAACATCACAATCTCATCTGCACTACAGCTTATGTGGAACCAGAACCGCTTGCATGTTCGGAGTAGCGGAAATTTGTGGCCACGGGTTGCGCGGCCAGTAGTACAAGTAACACAGACGACAAGAGAGATGTGTGGTGAATAATATTTGTCGCCTCTGTCCAGCAACTCAAATTATTTGGCTGGACAAGATTGTGCCATCAAAACGATTGCCCTCGATCAAAAATTGCCATCCACACGCACTTATAAATATTATAACTTTAAATGCATCGGCTGTTGCTCTATTCGGCCCTTCATCTTTACTTTTACACTGTAACATTTGCAAACAATAAAGGCTTGCCATTTCACTATTTAGATCGAGATACAACAGACCCTTGTAACTCGATGTCATACAAATGCGCACTTTGCGTACGAAGACAAACATTCTTTCATTTTTGAGACAAGCATATAATAATCGGTTCAATTAAAGATATCTACAAGAATCATGGCACTGACAGATCCATTCTGATACCAACGCTCAAGTGCAGAGTCAACAGAACAGAGAAGTTAAACAGTTGCCGGCAAATAAGTACGAGCATGCACAGGCCGCACGGTTGCTTCTCTCAAGCAAAAAAGAACCAGACAAAATTCCATGATCAAACGAGCTTCCTAAACTTATTGTAGCGATCCACAACTGAAATGCGCACAATCCCATCCTTTACTTTGTCTCGCAAAATACGACCAGTCAGTACTGCCGAGTTTGATCCATACTGGACGTTATTGTCCATCGAAAACTTGCGCTCATCACTTGCCAAACCAACATAGAGATATAATTTTTTATCATAAACATTGACGCAAACTCTGACGGGTCACACGGCACCTTGCACAGAGGAAGCTTGACTTCCAAGAGTATACAAACT